ATTGTTTTGTGTAAAAACTTTCGTTTTTATTCACATAACAGCTCTTTAATTACGAAAGTATAGCCCGTAATGAGTTCCTAATTTATATTTACGATTAAAAATTTCCTGAGAACTTTTTCGATAATGTGTCCTGTCTTTTGATGTACATATAAAATAAATATTATTTCTTATACTTGCTTGGCAATTTTAATTCTTAAAATAGTTTAACAGTAGATTGACATATATTTATCTATCAGGTTTCCTAGAGACAATTATTTATTTTCCATTCTACATATATTATTCGATACCTATTTTTGTTTATCATTAAATATAACATATATTTAAAACTTAAAACAAATTCTTAAACTTGTAACTTGTATTTCTCTGGGATACAACTTCTCATCCCACGGGATATCTTGAAATAAAAAGTTCCCCATATCTTATCTACGTAATATTGACGAGCAAAATTTTATTCAAATACTTTCAGAAGTTTATTTTATGTATATGATTAAGTATTATACATGCATATGTTTTTTTAGCCTATCAGAGCCCACTGCTGAGCAAAGGCCTCTTTCTCACATGGAGAAGGTTTGAGCATTAATCACCATTCTTACTCAAGACGGGTTGGTGATTTCAAACTTATAATTGTGAAATTATAATTCCAGGTTTCCTCACGATGTTTTACTTTACCGTCTGTCAGTGATGTCTAAATACTCTTAGAGGGTACATATGACTTGAAAAAATCACATTAGTACTTGCCAGGATCGAACCCGCGCCCTCGTGCGTTAGAGGTGGGCCTTTTAACCACTAGGCCACCACTGACTTGTGTATACCACTATGTTTATACTTTTATAAATAGGTATTTGTGAATCTACATAAGATTACTTGTTCATTGTTGATGATAAATTCTTATACAAATTCTATTTAATACAAAGAGATGGTCTTTAATGTTTAAATAATAAGGACACAACAGCTTTCTATAATTTTATTATTCGCGGTGCGTTCCGTGTTTCCGTGTTTCTGTTGATTTTGGTAGAAATAATACACTTTCAAGTCAACGCTACAGTTTGAGAGACTTCCCTAGTACTGTTTTTTTTCTAAATAACTTAGAAAAAGATGATTATGACATTAAAGTATCAGTAATATTAATTGAAAATATAAGATAGAATAGAAAGATAAAAACGAATTGTATTTTTTTAATTATGTATATGTATAATTATTACTAGTACCCTATGTCAAGCAGTGCACCAAGAGTTACAATTTACAATTATTTAAGGCGAGAATCCAAGAAAATTAAGACAATATACATATAAGAAATAACATTAAATAAAAAAATAGTATTCAGTTATACATATGTATAACTAAATACTAATAAAGATAACAATTCATTATTCAAAATATTTGTTAAAAAAATATCGTGATTGTTATATTCGAGTTATCAAATGAACTGAAAGGTCATTCAATATATCTTTAGGAACATTTCTTTGAAGATAATATTACTTATAAATCTCTAATTCGTGCGAATTTCGCCAAGAATAATAATAAATGGAAGTACAGAAGGCAACCAATTAGCGTTGGGATCCATCAATCAATGGAAGGTGTTCTGAGGTTTCTCAATAATAATAAATTTAGGATTTGTACTAATACGTTCGACGTTACATATCTATAGGTCATTGACCCCAATGCCATAGATTACTTGAAACCCATATTGTATTTCTAACAGTTTTCTTGAAATAAACATTGAGGGTTTGAAAGTCAAATGGAGTAATTAAATCCATTAAATTATCAAAATAACTAAATGAAAAATGTCAGTTTTTATAATGAACAAACCTATTATATTCAGTTTTTTTTATACATATGTGAATATGTTTAAACGAGAGTCAGTAATAATACGTCCATCACATAAACGTATATTTAATTTGACGATTCTTTGTGCTAAGTCCTAATTCGAATTACACTGAAGACGATGCGTTTCGCGTTTCTCATTCAATAATTTACATTAATAATATAATGTGCGTAGATTTATGAATGATAAACTGTTAACTCTCCGTGTATAGTGTGACGTTGCTAACTCAGACTAAACGTACTGATCAATCTCGTTAGCCAACTTTCACATACATCGTGATCTGCATACTTTTTGTATTAAATAATTTGACGATATACCAAGACTTATGCTTATTGTTAAGATAAAAAACTTCTTATACTGTTATATGACTGTTATTTTTCTATGACTTTTGATGTAACCAAGTTTATATTAACCATTTGGTTTCTTAGTTATTCTATTTTTCTCGAGAAAACATATCTTAAATTTTCAAATCCCTATTAATATTATAAATGGGAAAGTAACTCTGTCTGTCTGTCTGTTAGGCTTTCACGCCTAAGCCACTGAACTGAATTTACTGAAATTTGGTACAGATATAGAGTTGACCTTGAGAAAGAACATAGATAGTTTTTATCCCAGATTTTTGCAAGGTTTTCTTGGAAACGCGATATAACCCAATTCCACGCGGGTGAAGCTGCGGGCGGAAAGCTAGTCTATCATAAAATAAATTCACTTTTAATTATCAAACGGTTATAAAAAATACAACCTCATATTCTAGAAAGTATTAATATTTATAATATAAGTCTCAGGTATAACCAATTAGTTACATTGATACAGAAAATGACTGAACGCGTCTAAAAATAAACTTTATAAAGCTGGCGCCGCATAATTGTGTTTTAATAAAGTCTGAGAATGTCGCTAGGATCGAACCTCAGTACTTAGATATAATAGATTCAATATGTTGAGTGTGGAAGGTGCTTAAATCATATATGAACTACATAAATGTACATACATAAACATCTAAAATCATACATCCAATATTGAACAAAGCAACATAACTTTTTGTACATATATTTCCGTAAATTACACGATAAAGGCCATTAATGAGGAAGAAAAAATTAAATTACAAACAAATTAGCAACTCGACGTTCGACGTCACGATCGTGTCTATTAGGGTGGAACTTTACGACGAAATATCCTTTGTTCTGTTAGTACTTTTACATATAATCGTATAAAATCGATTAGCAAATAATTTCTTAATCAATTACATGTGAAACTATTGAAGGTTTCTCGTCAAATAATTATGAAAATCGATATTTAAATCGACTTTTGACAATGTCACAGATTAGGTAAAAATATAGTTTGATTTTTTTTTGTTAATATAAAGCTAAATGACATATAAAAAGTGCGTAATGTTAGAATGCCATTTAGTAACGTAAAAATTAATGATGCGATTTAAGTGGTTATTCCGCATAATATGCCTTTCACCCTAGACTAACTGTCAGAAGAAAACAAAGATATTAGGCCAGTAGGTGAATACATTTTATATAAAAAAAAACAGTTAGTCATAGTCTACATTTACGTCATGATATTTCACATACTTAAAATAATCTTTTATTTCTAAATGAAAAGCTAATACTAAAATCTGACGTTTCCACGCTACTCCAAAGATTTTAATCGCTTTAAAAACTTCAACGATCATTAATAACATTTACGTTCTAATAAATGACAGTTTTTGTCGTTTTTATTTAATTTATCTAAAGCTTAGATATTCAGTTTACTGTGTTCCAGAGATTATGTCAAATCGTCTCATAAATAAAGATACGCAGTGCAATAATGACGCAATTCACTTCGTGTGGAGTCGAGTTGAGGTGATAAAAGAAAGTATGTGCTTGTTTGCCAGATTAGTACGGCCTTAGTGAACATCCTGCCTAAGGAGTTAACCAAGTTCAAGAACACTTCATATGAACTCATATAGTTTGTGATCAGAGATGTTTTTATAATTAAAAAATTAATTAACTCTTTGACTCATTTGTGTAACTTCCAAGAAACAACGCAAGAAAGTCGACGATCGTTTTGAAATAAAGATAAATTCGCGTAAACGGTACGGCTGCTAAATAATTACAAAATATTAAAACTCAAGAGGCGTATTAATTTAAGATCGTTGCGTGATGTTAATTGAAAACATAATTTCACTTTTTCAAAAGAGCCGTCTCCGAGTTAAAACGTCGAATGTAGAGAAATGTTGGCATTCTAAATGTAGCAAATTTATAAACAAACAAGGAGTTTTTTATAAAAATTATTCATCTGTTAACACTAAAACCAAACAAAAATTTTACATCTGTACACAAAAAAAATCACGCTGTAAATTATGAGAACTGTAAATGCGAAAAATTGTACATAAAACTCAGTCTCATTAGTCAAAACAATCTCAAAAACTTTGAATATTTGAAAAATTCTGTCGTTTAAAACATCACAATCCTGCCAATCGCTAGAAGAAAAGTTTGACACGTCCATATTCCCGTGAAGTTATTTGAATGAATATTTTTGTTATATTTCATTGTCGGCCATTAGCCTCATCGATTCGGCAGAAGCAATTAACTGTCGGATCATGATTGATGGTGGTGTTAGCTTATTACTAGACCTGCCTCCCTGTTCTTATCGTGAGGGATGAACGCTCATTTCGTTAATGCGGTTGACGACGCACAAACCAGATAACAGAGTTCAGCTATGAAGGGAACGCGATTAACGAGCAGCTCTGGAGGTTTTAAATATATTAACATCCGCTTATACTGCGGGTAACATGAGGAAGTATGGAGATACTTCAGCTCGTACAACGCCTAATATGAAAATAATGTTCTAAATGTATTTCTATACTGTTCTACATTATTAAATTCTTTTTTTAAGTACTAATATACATTTTTTTTTTTTGTCTGAATAGAGATTCATTTTATTGACTATGTTGTAGTATTATTTTAAATAACTTAATCCATCATAGTTATATAGGCAGTCTTTTGACTGAAATTTTTAGTAACTCCATATTATTTTTAATATAATTTTTTCAACAACATAAGTTTGAATGAACAGAAATTCAATTCAGTTTTGTTTATCGATGCTATTTCAGTCGTGTATTGATTGATATGCCTAATATATTTGGACCATTTTACACACCTTTCTATGTATGTATTATATATTTCTGATGTATTATATTAATTTTTCAGTGGGCGGTATGTCCCGCGGAGGTAGCGGGGCTGGTAAGACAGCGACTGCGAAGCGCGTGCCTCCGCCGGCGGTCCCAGGGGATGCGTTTGGGACTCCTCAACACAGACACTCGGGCTCCAGCTTCGGATCCCAAGGTTATGCCTCGTGTGAGGAACAGGCATACCCGCAGCCGCCTGACACGCCTTCACATACGAGAGGTAAAAGATCTAGCATTTATTGTTAACAATCAAGGTCCAATATAGTATGTCAAAAAATATTTCTTGAAAGATTCGTTGTAATTTGTTCTCGTACTTATGACTTTTATATATGCCCTATGTGAAATACAAATATCAAAGATAAATTTATTACAGCTTCTTGTTACTAACTTGCTATAGAATTTAGTAACGTAACAAAATTAAATGAAACTAATTTTTTATTATTTTATGCCTAAATGTGATCACTAGCAGACGATATAATAGGCCACTTTCTACTTGGAAAAAATAAAAAAAGCAGTTTTCAATAAACTTAGTTTCATTTAAAGGATTAGTCGTGAAAACCCTAATTAATTATTTGTGCCTACATAAAAAAAAACGTTCCGAGGATCTTGCTTCCTATTAAGCATGATTCTTAGTATCTAACGTACATATGATATTGGCCATTAAATCCCATGCTATCATTCCAGATGATCACTCTGACTATGGCAGCACAGTGTCCGGTGTGTCCGGTGCTAGCGGCAGTCTGGGCAAGAGTCCGGCCGGTGGGGGAACCTTCACCTTCCCTCCTCCCACACAACCACTCACACACAAGGCAGCTGTGTACTATCATCACCAACTGGCGCTGAGTGACGACCAGGGCATAGATATGACGCAGGTAACACGTTATACCAATGAGATCGAGAGTATTCATTTAAATGAAACGAATATTGTACGGATATACCTTATTTAAATAAATAAAGCACGCGAAGTATATCCGAAAAATATTTGTTTTGTTTAAACGAGATTATACTTTTCCATATTACGATATTCGTATAAAAATCAGCAGTATATTGTGCAAATATCTACATTAATCACTATTCAGTCACGTCATTGTAATTAATTACTAGAGCCATCGTCGCTGCAAACAAATCGAAATACTTAGTGAAAATAAGAACAGCTCTAACGGCTAGATATTTATTTATACATGTATGGTCAAGAGAATAACGTCTATTATATATTTTTTTATCAAATCTATTATAACACAAAATATTTGAAGATCTTCTCATATACTTAAACGAAATGTTTATCAATCAGTACTCACATTTCCTCAAGTTTGACGAAGCGTTTTCACTGTTTTACAAATTTACCATCGAAACTCTCTCTATCAAATGTTCTTCTTCTACCTGACAGTTTCCCAGCTCTAGCCAGGGTCGGCCTTAAATGTTGTAAATAGTTTTGGCTAATTGTTTTTACGACAGGCCGCCTGCCTGACATCAACCCTCTTTGATTATCAGCATCAGTAAAATCAGCATTAATCAGTGATGTCTAAATACTCTTAGAAAGTACATATGACTCAGAAAAACCACATTGGTACTTGCCCGGGCCAGGATCGAACCCGCGCCCTCATGCATGAGAGGCGGGACTTTTAACCACTAGGCCACCATGGACTAAACACTTATCAAATATCTACCCTATATTCCAGAGCCCCGGTCGTGATAGTCCCGGGTCATCGTCGGGCTCCGCTGGGTCAGGGTCTCGACACTCATCCGCGTCTTTGGACAGCGGCAGAGCGTCCGGTCGAATGCCACACCATCATCATGCGACTTGCCACTGTGGAGATACCGTCGATAGAGTACGAGCTATGATCGCTCAAGGACTACCGGTGAGTTATAATGAAAATAAAATATACTTGATTTAACCTGTGATTTTACATGGACTGTTGCATCTTTGGTATTTCGTTCAGATATAAAAAAAATTTGGGGGGGTGTTAAGTTGGTGTATATGACTATGTGTCAGCGACATCTATATATCTTGTCACATGATTTCAATAGATAAAACTGTTATGACGTAATCCATCGGGAACATATAGAACTTGGGAACAAATCCTGTTCAGATATCTGAAATAAAATACTGCAGAGTTTCATCTAAATCCGTGGAATATTTGTTATTTTTATCATTTAAATATATTTCTGATAAAAAGCCTCTATTAAAATCCCAAACTCTATAGCGTCTTCAACACAAAAATCAACTTCGTATCACGAAAATGTTATTTTCATTCCAGGATCATGATATAATTCACGCATGGCTGGCGGATTTACAAATGGAAGAATACGCGAGGCTGTTCGTTGAAGCTGGTTACGATCTAGCAACCGTCACTAGAATGACTCCCGAGGATCTTACAGCGGTGGGCATCAAGAAACCAAACCATAGGAAGAGGTTAAAGGCTGAACTTACCAACCTTAACGTGCCCGACAACCTGCCTGATTACATCCCGGTAAGAAAAGATATTAAGAGGAATTATATTTGTTTTATTTTTTATTTTAGGGAAACAAACAATAAGATAAACTTATTGGACATGAATATACAAAATTACATATATCAGCTCAGTTTCCACTGGTAATTAGTTTTTAAAATTCTCCTGAAATAAATATTTGATAATTTAATAATCATGTTGCAAGAACTTTAGTGTAATATGTACACGTAAAGTATTTTAAGCGTAGAAAAACTATTTCTCAAAAATTATCAACCGTTTGATCCTAATATGACGGAATATATACAAAAATTAAAACAACATTATTAGCATTATCATATTGTATTAGTTTGTTTGACCTTTCATCCCGATTGCTTAATTATCTTGTAACCACGATCAAAATTTTTGTAATAAGTAATTTTTTCTTATCTCTAAGTTTGTAATTATCAGATTAATTCATGAAATTATCTGAATATTTGTCTAAATGAGTATTTGTTATGAACTTGTCATCATTAAGAGGATATTTTATCAGGGTTCTCTCGAGGAGTGGCTTCGTCTGCTGCGGTTGGAGGAATATGGACCGGCCTTAGTGGCACAAGGATATAGGACTGTGCATGACGTCACACAACTGGCCTGGGAGGTACATACATATTAATATTTTTTTAATATATTTGGGTAATTAAGACCATTGTGGAACGGATTAATTATAAATTGACCTAATTTCAGTCGACATCTTATTTTTTTTTTAGTCAAGTACCTTGACACTAATGTCACATGAGAATTAATTTTTTTTTAATTCCTGTAAGAATTTAATCTATTTATTAGTGAAAATTTTATGACAGTCAAAAGCATTCAATAAAATTTTCATATTGTATGAGATTCCTTTGTTAAATTGTTTGAATATTCTTACTTACGAATTATTGGCATGAAATAGAATTATTAAAAAAAAAATCTTACTTTGATGTCCTTAAACTTACAACTGGTATACTTACAATTGTTGATGTATTTTAAATGAAAAAAATAAATGTTACAGGACCTAGAAGATATGGGCATCGTACGTTTGGGACATCAGAAGAAAATTTTGCTCGCCATTAAAAGAGTGAAAGATATTAGGGCGGGGAAGAGAAGTATCAGCAGCCAAGGATCACTTGATTTCACGAGGCTATCGGGACAGGTACGGAATATTAACACTAGATACTAGTATTTGTAGTGATGTTTTAGACCTAGAACCTTCTAGAATGACCTTATGAGAGCGAATCCTTTTTCGTCTACCCGCAAAATGATCCGCTATTATAATGGAACTTTATAATAGTCAATAGTTTTCACGAATTAAATATTTATTTAAAGCATCACTTCAAATTTATGTTTTTTATTTTATATTTTACTTGTTAACATCATTTAATCATTAATCCATTATAATCATCTTTAATATATTCTCTTTCTTATAAAATTATATTTCTAATGATTTATATCTATAAAAAATAACATTCAAATTAATAATAAACTAACGCTTAAAATAATACAGCGTTTTATTGAATTATATAAACAGATTTGATAGGCTTTAAATGTTAGTATGAACGGCCAGCACAGAATTTTCTTTGGAAATAAAACGTGATTATATTGGGAAAATATCTGTATAGACCAATTGGTTTTGAGGGATATAAAATATAATTTTCCCGACACGTTAGTTCATTCGGTTTTTCTTCCGCTTTGACATCCAAGTCTCCTTCCATTTCCATCATGACAACTCTGCGACTCACTTTCCTAGATCAATGTTAATAGAACAGTCGCAGAGTTGTATTTCATCAACATCACATCAACGGCTGCATCCTCATAGCCCAGAGCAGCATGTGAATGTTTTTTTTTATTTTCTTTTTTCCAAACACCAAACCGCACTTGGACGTAAAGGATTTATATACCCGAGAGCATTACCAGCCCTGGGAGAGGAGGAGTTACCATAAACCCCCCGATCTAAAGTTTGACGCTCTACCGACCTTAGCCACTGATTTGGTTCCTATCCAGGTATGAATTGAATGAATGACCACAGCACCCGGCTTTATGTGCACCAGTCTTTATTATAGTGTGTTCGTGACCTTATATACCTCGTTTAGGATATGCACGGTAGCTAGTTACTTGTTAATATATTTATATACAAACGGCATGGCATTTAATAATTAATCACTAATACGATGCGTATATTTTTACAATATTAAATTATTATTTCAGCATGATTAAAACCAAAGATAAATATTGGGATTTTTTTTTTGAGTTTTTTGTATTTTGATGAGAATTTGGATCGCTAGTTCAAGAAGTGAATGTGACATTTGACATTACAGATACGTCATCCGCGCGGGAAATCGCTCGAAAGTTTAGAAGATCCGACGGAAAGGACTTCGCATACAACGTTTTCACCTGAAGCGGGATTCTATTATGGAGGGCAATGGAGGCGTTCTTATGATGATGGGGATATAACGCCTACAAACGACAGCTCGTACGAAGGCGGTGGAACTCTGCCGCGTCCGAGAGGCTTAGTGCGACCGCGGCCCGTCGCGAAAATACAAGCGACGCCAGCATACAGAGACAAATCACCAGATTACACCTACGACGAGATAGCCTACTCAGCTAGATTACAACGCGTCGCATACGGCGCTAGTCCTCACGTAGCAAGGAAACCCCCACCAGAACCGCCAAAACGACAGAGTTCTCAATACGCACCGTTCACGAGATTCGGTCAAACGACGGTCGAAATTCATCCTGAGAAGAGTCTCCCACTAAGTCTTCCCGCGTATCCAAGTTCGGATTCTTTGAGCGTTTCTTTGGACAGCACGGGATTATTACCGCCGCCGCCCGCACCTTCATCTCCACCTAGGAGATACGAAGAAGATAAAATGAGGACCGGTTCCGATGCTAGCTTTAAGGTAAAAAATTAAATTCCATAGTATTCACCAAAAAATAGGTATAAAAACTGAGTTTTCTTCAGATATTTCCGTATTCCTTGGGAGAATTTAGTGTTTATTACAGAATAACAAAAATTTTTGTTCCATAGTGCTAATACCCAATTAAATATAGCACTTTAAGTTAAACGAATCGCGATAGTTTAATTTTAGTATTTAACATGTGAATGAAATATTAATAAATTAATTATTTTTTTCCAGTCAAGTTCCAGTACCGAATCAGATAGCATTCCATTCGCCAACGAGAACGCGGGAACGATAAAACAGAACAGAGGCCAAATAACTGGTAGACCGCACACCGTCGACTACGGACGGACGGGCATTAACTTGACCGGTCTACCGCCACGGAACCCTGATATGAAACCCAACCACCCCCTCCCCGAACATAAAGATGAAAACAAAAGTACGGAACCAGTTGACGTACTCAACGACATAGGCAACATGCTAGCCAACCTAACAGACGAATTAGACGCCATGTTGGAAGAAGAAAAACGCCAGGGTCTGACTGATTCCTAAAACTTATGATTATTGTATTATTTTCTACTCGAATACTTTTATTATATTAGTTTCAACAAATTCCAAAGATACATGATCGATGCGATCGATATTTTGACTTTTTTAAAACTTTCGTTTGCAGGTGAAAAATAGGCAACATTTATAATTAACTTTTATATAAGTACATGTTATATTATTTTTAAGTATCCCTTATAAACATAGTTTGTGATTCTGGTTTGATAATAGTTTGATGCCAAAGCGTGCTTGATGGCGTTCTTATAGTGGTTTTGAAAAATTGATTCAATATATGAATGTCAAATGTCAAATGAAAAATGTCAAATGTCAAATACCACACCCAATTTTTGTCGCTCGCTTTATATCTGCTACTAAGCTGAACGCTCAGCCTTAAATCCGCTATATTAGTATACATAAACTATTTGAATTTCTTAACAGATAACAAGCCAGAATGTTCTCTACTTTATGACAAATTATTAAAATCGTTATTTATATATTAGCAATGTTTATTATAATTTATACACCGTTTAGTTGATCTTTCTATAAAATAGTTCCTCATTTAAATTAAAAAAATCATAATTTTCATTTCTCGTAATAGTTCATAATTAGATGTAGACAGATCCAAAAACAGATGATATGGCTATTTTTGTAAATAACATTTTACTTAAATTATGTAATAGTATATATCCGTAGCTAGTTTTCCATGTACAATAAAATTGTAGAGTACTTGAATTAATAAATGTAGAATAGAATAGTTAGAATTTATACAGAATTATGTAATTAGTGATAGTGTTGAGTTTAGAAATTACAATTAAATGTATAATAGCCCTTCATATATATGTAGTAGCTATAGATCCTCATAGTTGTATATTGTACTCTTTTAGTTTTCCTTTTTCATATTTAAAAAAGTTTTTAAAACATAATTATTTACAACAAAATCCTTTTTTTCGCAAAATCTGAACAGCAAGTCTCTCAAATGTTGTTAATTTAAAACAATCAAATAGTATAGTTATGATTTTTATAGCTTTTAGTTTGCTTTTGTGTTACTTATGTATATAAACTTCTCAAATGGAATGACCTCATTTATATTTAACAGTCCGCTAACATGTGATACACAGTGGCCATAATATGATAACAACAATCCAAATTAGGTTGTGACATAAGTATCATTCAATTAAAGGAGTACAATAATATGTTATGCCCTATAGTTTTTGCTCCTTACACAAAACCTACAATAACTTAGTATAAAGTAGCACTTCATAAGATATTTTTAGCTTTGTACTGTAAATAACTAGATATCAGTGTTTCTATACAGGCCCTTTGATACCTAACATAACATGTATTTAGACATTTTGTATAACTACTTGTTAATAATGCCGTCACTTTTATTTTTGTTAAGACGCTAGGATAGGACGGTGCTAGAGATACAATTGAAGCAAGCCATATTTTTGCATCATTATAATGTGTTTTATTTTATATTTTTGTCATTTGTTCTATGAACTAGTCAAAATTTATTTTCTGAGTGACGGTTACTTATAATGTTATATGGTAATCAATTATAACCGGAGACAGCTTATATTTCTCTTATTTTATATTTCTGTTCTAATTTGAATAAATAATTGTAATATTTATATTGTGTTTCAATTTCCTACCTTTTCCTTGTAATTGGAAATCAAGTCGTTCTAATCTGTTTGTTTAAGAATTTTTAGAATATTTTAAATATGATTAGACATTTATTATTTAAATAACATGTACAGTCTAATTGTAATGGTTACTTAACAAAAATTATAAACCAATAGAAAAAATTTGAAAAAAACTACTACAGAGTTCTTTTATTATATATCCATGTTATTTCGTAATTGTAGCATCTCTAGGTTCTAACTAGTGTCTCGAAGTACAACTATTCTTATAACATTAAAACAAACTGATCTTTATCAAACCGTACCTGTTCTGTTAAAAGTTATTAATTAAATACTTAAGTTCAGAAAATATATTTTGTGTGTCTAATATTCTGATTATAACCAATAACAGTTTAATTTATTACTCCTGGATATCTAAGCGCACGGTAGTGCGCCGGCCAAGTTCCAGCAACAGGCCGCGCGCATGCTGTGCACTATTTACACGAACCGTTTCGACCCACTTTTGCCCCCCCCCCCCCCCTATATCTCAGTGCCTATTGCAAGTACAGAGATAAAAATGTACCTACGTAATCATATACTAGTACTAAAGCAGTATGCCAAATTTCATAGATAAAGCTTCAGTAGATCCTGAAATATGACCCTGTGAAAATAGCTAATTTTGGCACTGACTCACTGACAGGTAATCAAAACCTTTAGGCCACTTCCCATTGTTTTAGCATTATGAAATTTGGTACACAGGTTGTGTGTTATATGTAGATTAATAAAAAATTAAGAAATTTAAGAAATCGGTCAAGCGTGAGTTGCCTCAATTCTAATATCGAATATGTAATAAAAAATTTAAGAAATCGGTCAAGCGTGAGTTGGCTTAATCGAATATCGAACTTTTATTACACGCTGTATAATAGCATCACTTGTATGTTTATTTGTTTGTATGTATGTAACTCTCCTTTTTTTAACACACTTCTTATGCACTGCTGTGATATGGGTATCAAATGAAAGAGTTTGAGGAGAAGAATATGAAGATAAAAATAATGCAAGAATATCGGGACGATAAAATATTGGGACGGTAAAATATCCAGACCAGCCGTTTACAAGATACAGTTTGCCGTTTACACGATACACGATACAGTTTGCCGTTTACACTATACACGATACAGTTTGCCGTTTACACGATACACGATACAGTTTGCAGTTTACACGAGATACAGTTTGCCGTTTACACGATACAGTTTGCAGTTTACACGATACAGTTTGCAGTTTACACGATACAGTTTGCAGTTTACACGATACACGATACAGTTTGCAGTTTACACGAGATACAGTTTGCCGTTTACACGATACAGTTTGCAGTTTACACGATACAGTTTGCAGTTTACACGATACAGTTTGCAGTTTACACGATACACGATACAGTTTGCAGTTTACACGAGATACAGTTTGCCGTTTACACGATACAGTTTGCAGTTTACACGATACAGTTTGCAGTTTACACGATACAGTTTGCAGTTTACACGATACAGTTTGCAGTTTACACGATACAGTTTGCAGTTTACACGATACAGTTTGCAGTTTACACGATACAGTTTGCAGTTTACACGATACAGTTCGCCGTTTACACGATACAGTTTGCAGTTTACACGATACACGATACAGTTTGCCGTTTACACGATACAGTTTGCAGTTTACACGATACAGTTTGCAGTTTACACGATACACGTATAATTTAATTATATAAATAATAAATTGATATAAATATAAATAATGATACAATTAATTAATTGTTAAGTACAGCACGAAAACCTGCCAAGTTCAAATTTAGAAGTATTATATGTAATTATAGATATTTTTAACCAAGCACCTACGTATTTTCACAACTATACCATATTTTAAGTTGGTTGTATGGTAAAGTGAATTTCGGCCAGATGGACCGTTGACGTGAATAAGGTGGCGGGTACTGGCTGGATGTGGAAGGCAGAGGACTGGGTGTGGTGGCGAGTCTTGGGAATGGCAAATGTTTACCAGTGGATCATGCTGTTGATGAAGATGATTATGATCGATTTCAAAGTGCATCTCAACTTGCATCATTAGATTGAATCTCAAACCTTTTTTAAGCAAACAATTAGCCGATTGGAACTTGGCCCCCTTTTTAACAGGCATGTTTGGTGTGAGATCTATCTTCTTCATGAAAGAGCTGGCCTAGAACTTCTAGTTCTCTCTCTCTCTCATACCACAGAGTAAATATAAATAAACTCTAATTTTTCAAAGATTTATCTTAAATAAATAATCCAGGTTTTTTTAACAACATAAAATGTCTTTAGTTAACTACAGCTTTGATTCAGAATTGACCTAGTGTAATAAAATGAGTTACAACAGGAACGCAAAAATATTTTTGTTTATGCTCCAACTTTTCGTATGCAATCATAATATAAACCAGATTTTAATTGCCGGAATTGTTTAATTTACTTATCTTTAAAGTTTTAAAAAATAACACACTGGTATTGCAAGTCTGTTTTTATTCTTATCAAACTAATTTTTAGCCTGTACTGTTTGTCACTTACAAATTTGACTTGAGCGGGCTGCGCGGTTCGCGATCAATAACTTATATTGAGATATTCGGAGTTTGCGAGGTCAGAGTCATAGATGGGCTCTTAGGCTGAACCGTGAATACAGAAGGTGTTTCAAAAAGTAGTAAAATGGAGGCCGGTGGTGCTTATGGTGGTGGCAAAGCTGGTGGAGCCTTCGATCCCCAGGCTTTTGTTCAAAGACCTCCCGTAATTGTTCGCTCCGTTTGTTGGGTATGTTACATATTCAAATATTCCAACAATGTTATGTCATATAGAAAAAAATACGTTTTTATTGATCATTCAGATTTTTCATATACCGAGGCATGTCTTCATAATTTAATAACGTCAATTATAGATCTACTACACAAAACATAAGTACATATAGTGAGTGACCTTGCCATCTCTAATTTGTTGAGTAAATTATGTTTACAAAATCAATAGAACTCAGAGCTGTTTGCCAAAGGATTAACTATCTTAAAGTAAAATAATCGTGATTTATTTTATAGATTACGATAACAAGGATTTTTAATAATCACAATATGAAGGAAATAGTTTTCCAGAAATATATTACAGTAAAACTCTAAAGTAATAAAAAATAATTGCTACAAATTATTTTTTTACTAAGATATATTTTATTAGCACTGAGACTCCGAAAATATAGTATGTCCTTTGTTATCTATGTAGGTCATTCATAAAACCTCAAATTTTCTTACATTACATACTCTGATAATCCTTAATTTAATAAACATTCAAAAGGAACACTACATTTTCAGAATTTCAAGGTTTTCCACAAAAAAACATGCGCCATCATTGCATTTCCAATATTAGTCACAAATATTGGCAGGATTCTCATTTAATACAAATTTTTTAAAATGATATGCAATTCTCTATGTACGGACCAAATTTGATGCAATTCCTTACTCTATAGCCGTCTTAACACTAAAACTAATATTATTTTTTCTTCCCAGTTGTTCAGTGTGATTGTAATGGGCTGTATATCTGCCAAGGGCTGGTACATCAGCAAAACAGACGGCAAAGAATACTGTGTGTACAACGATGATACAAATGCTTGCAATTATGGAGTCGGAATCTCAGTTATAGCATTTGTTGCATCTATAGCTTTCATTGTCGGGGAATACTTGTTTGAACAAATGTCATCTGTGAAGACGAGGAAGCATTATGTTCTTGCCGATATGGGATTTTCTGGTAAGTATTGTGTATTTTAAGCATTTCTTATATGTGTATTAAACTTGAGCATTAAAAATGTACCATTATGTTTTAATATGAGTTTATCATGATCAAACAATGCTGTAATAAAATCTCAGTAGGTATTAAGTGTGAGGAATTTAATAAAATTCCAATTAGGTCAGGTCATACTACTTGACACTCAGAATTAATTTAGGTAATGGAATCCATTCCTTATTATGAGAATCGAATATTTTCTGAATTAAATTTTAGTTCTGTATAAAGGAAATTATATTTATTCCTTTTAAAATATTCTATGGAATTTGAATAGCCATTTTTTATTACGAATTGTTAAAAACCAGTGTATTGTAACAGTTTTTTTATTAGAGATTTTATTATTTCGTTTATGGTACATACTATGCCGGTTACAATTTTCTTTGAAACATTAGAAGCAAGAAATTTTCAAGCCACTAATGAATGAATGTTTAAATAAATATTCGCTGAGTTTAATACCAATTGACGCAGTGAAGCAGTATGACTGCAAAACAGAATTACATACATTTGTGTTTATGTTAAATAATGTTTTCACTCATTTTTCGATGACAATTTACGTATTTAGCAAATATATTTGTATAGCAGAAGATCGATCGATTTTATTGAGACTTTCGGTGAAGTTTTTAAAAATTTTAGACTTGTTAACCTATTTCTCTTTGAAATCATATATCTTCTATGGACACTGGCTCGTTTGATACTAACCTTCGATTGACCTAGTTCATATATATTTTGCATTAAATGTAACCAACATCTTTCTTCCTATAAAATCTACTTTATCGATCAAAGGTGCAATTGTACAGCTTAGAATACTTTGTAAGAATTTAACTTAAAAATATTACACACATTTCTTGCGATATTGATAAAATTTTATCGTCGTTTTTCTATTATGGCAATACTGATTGGTATCGATATATAATAATAAAAAAAATTCTTTCCATTTATTTGCTTTAATATTTTATATTAGAAAAAGTAAATTTATTAAACTAGCATTTTATTCACGTCCTCCATTTTAGGGAGAGGCGGCATTCAGTTGACCTTTGTCGTAATAATAAACTTGATAATAAACCTTAAGTGGATTTTTTTGTTGTATTTGTACTCATTTTATGAAGAAATTTAGATCTGAACGACATTTTGAATATATTTTTTGGTCACGGAATCGTTTTGACCAAAATGATTAATATTGAAAAAAATCAATGTTAACGAATATATTAGTAGAAATATCATTTGAAAATTCAATCTCTCAATGATCTTACGCCGGCCCTGACCGATTTCAAACATCCTCTTGAAGTTGTAGATGTGCATTCGTTTGTTGAAAATATAACATTCCCATCAAACTATAAAAGCTTTCATTGTTTAAAAGTTAAAGTGAAACTGTACGAACACAGAATGTGTTATTAAAAAAAGAACATTTTGCTGTTAGTTATCTGATGCACTTCAAAGAAAACTATGTACTGAAAAAGTGTAAAATTTAAGTAGACTTTGTTCCATTTTGAAACATACTTTGTCATTGTTACTGCTACAGAAAAAAGTCTGAGTTTAATACAATTTAATATTATAACAATACAGTAGAACTCCAATTATCCGAACTCCGACTATCCGAATCGCCGATTATCCGAATCACTTTCAGAAAAAAAATTGTCCAAAAAAAGTCTAAGTGCGCTATTATTCTTCCCTCCGCGAAGTCAATGTAGGCACAATGGCAAGTTAAGACCGCAAAACAGCTTGCATTGACGAAGATGTTTAAAAAACAACGATTTTTATTTATAAACTTGTACATAAGTACAATTTATTTATATTTAAAACATGTGGAAAAAATCATGTTTCTTTCATTTAATTCAATAAAAAAAATAGCGCAATATCAAAACGTAACTTTTTTTCTCTCCAATGGCAATTAAAAAAAACTCCGATTATCCGAATATTTGATTATCCGAATGGGTCCCGGTCCCCATTAATTCGGATAATTGGAGTTCTACTGTAATATTGTTTAAGAAAACGAAAAGTAAAATTTAAATAATACTTATTATACAAATGATACATGAAGTAAAATATTTATAGTCGATCGTTAAACTGAGACGCGTTAAAAGTAACGACCGTCTGAAACGTCCCGGTGTTGCCATTCTCAATATTGTAACTTGGCTTTTATTGGATCTTACAAATGTTTATATCTTAATCGCCGAAGTTGCCAGATATTGGAAGTGGAAATGGAAATTTTAATTGCTTTTATAAATTATTGAAACATTCTATTGATGGCTTCTTTGTCCCTATAATGAAGCTAGTATAATTAAAGAGCAGTATGATTTACTTTTCAAATAACATAGTACTTAAAGAATATATTTTTTTAATGTGATGTAATTGAATGTTTTAACTCGGTTTTCAGCGTTCTGGGCGTTTCTATACTTCGTGGGCTTCTGTTATTTATCCAACGCCTGGGGCAAGACTGAGAATCCACCGATGGGTACAGCCAACAACATGCAGGGAGCCATCGCCTTCTGTTTCTTCTCGATATTTGCTTGGGTGAGTTTAGTTGCGAACCAAAAAGTCCATATAATAGAACTACACATTTGTATAACGTATATACGTATACGTAAGTCAGTGGTGGCCTAGTGGTTAAAGGGCCCGCCTCTCGTAGCCAAGGACGCGGGTTCGATCCTGGCCCGAGCAAGTACCAATGTGATTTTTCCGAGTCATATGTACTTTCTAAGAGTATTTAGACATCACTGATTAATGCTGATTCCCAAAAGAGGGTTGATGTCAGGCAGGCGGCCGGTCGTAAAAACAAATACATAAACTATTCACAACATGTAGGCAGACCCTGGCTATAGCTGGGAAATTGCCAGGTAGAAGAAGATATTTGTTTAACGTATATTATACAGGGTGACTGGTGAATTACTATCGATATTTGAGGACGTGGTATTTGACGATCATATATGACAAAATAAAAATTAATATAACATAAATATTAATAAACTTCTAAGTAAAGTTAACCAAAAGTTATGTAATTAATTACGCATCGTGTGAACACCCTACAGATTAGGTATACACACACACTCACACATACGCGGCGGGGGCGTGGTTTTGTATCAGCACGCCGCCACACTTGGAACGTGTCAACACTTTATTTATTTATACGGAAATTTTGTCAAAAATTAAGTACCTATTTTTTTTACATAATTCGAATGAGAATCATGTACCGAGTATTCTTAAATATTGATAGTAATTCACCAGTCACCCTGTATATTTATAAATTATATACAGGTAGCGTGTGCGTTCTTCGCATTCCAACGTTTCCGTATGGGTGCTGACGCGGCCTTCGCCCCAGCATATGAAGTGGAAGGCGCCGGTAGTCCGGGAACCTTCCCCGCCTACCCCGGGGCTCCGGACCCACAGCCCGCGTACAGCGACCCACCCTTCCAACAACAACACACCGGTAAGTATACACACACACACACACACACACACACACACACACACACACACACACAACAGTCATAATTATTAAAATTCCGAAACCATCAATAAATTTTCTACAGTATATAACAACCATGCAAAAATATATTATGTGATGTTCCAAAACTCCATAGCACGCATTTTGATATCAATTGAGACATAAATGATAATAGTAAGTCAGTTGTAGCCGAGTGGTTAAAAGGCTCGCCTCATGCATGAGGGCGCGGGTTCGATCCTGGCAAGTACCAATGTGATTTTTCCGAGTCATATGTACTTTCTAAGAGTATTTAGACATCACTGATTAATGCATTCCCAAAGAGGGTTGATGTCAGGCAGGCGGCCGGTCGTAACAACAATTAGCCAAAACTATTCACAACATGCAAGGCAGACCCTGGCTAAAGCTGGGAAAATTGCCAGGTAAAAAAAGATAAATGATGATAGTAATGTCTAATGTGTATATTGTTTTGTCATTTCAGGCAACATGGACTACACCGCACCTACATACTGAACAACTTCAACAAAAACTCTGGACAAGTGAGTTATAATTAATACTATATGAATTATATTACTCACACATCTCATAAATACATAGCATACTATTCTATGTTTGGAATTATTTAAAATAAAACAAGACCTAGTCAAAAATACCGGCCATTATTGTTATTTTTAAAGTATTAATTGTAACTTAATTGGCAAAAAATACTTTTTTCTTCGAGCAAGTGAATTTTTGAAGTTAAAGAGAAAAATATATAACAGAAATTGAATCTCTGGAAATATATAACAATATTGATATTCCATAAAATTTCATCATTAATTAATTCTGTTAAGAAGGAAGTGTTTTTTATTACCCAAATAGTATTTAACATAATGTATTTATTGAACCGTCACTGTACCTACCCCATACAAGGGTTATTGACAATATATGAAATTTGTAAATAACATGAAAAAGTTATATTTTTATATTATTTTGTCATTGTGATATTTTGTTTTTGTATTATATAGTTATTTATTTAAATTATTTCATTTATAATATGTGTTAAGTTTTAATTTGTTCCATAGAAACTTAAAGGATTGTTTTTGATTATGCTGACAATACTGTTATTGTGTCACCGGTTGCAGACTTGCACTGAATGTTAAACGAAAATAAACCATTTATAAACCAAATAATAGCTTTTAAGAATAGCTTATGTATTGAAATATTGTTTTGGAATCAATATATATAATTCATTTAATGTAGGCATTATGCATATCGATATTTTCACATACTATAGATAAATTTATCCTGAAAATAGTTTAAATGTAAATTCAAACAAGAGTCATTTCTTTCAGTGACATTTAAATCTGACAGATTATATAAAGTCACAGATTAAAAAGAAAGACTCTGGTTGATTACAAATAATTCTCGAAATATATAATTAAATATTTGCTGTTGACAAGCTTTGCTGTGTTAAAATATATGTATAAGTGTAATTAGATATTATCAACATATTTATAGTCAAATATTTAATAGTGTTTCAGTATTATTCTATGTCTATAAATAATATGATTTAAACTGTATATTTTTATTAATAAAGTGTAAAGTACAAAGCTAATTAGTTGTCTGTGGTAATTTGTTCGTAAAAATATATATTATTGTATTGGAAACATGTATGTTTTGATTTTGATTACCATCGACACTAGATGTTAGCTTAGCTTGCACTTTGTAGTAGAGTAGCAATAATATATGTAAAATGTTATTATCAATGTTATAATTTCTAACAGTAGTGTGATCATATCAGTTTTATGCTAAATTATATATTTTTAACACTAAATATGTAACTAGTTGCAGTAGGCTCATATACCAAAGACAAACCAAATCGCTGACTAATAGTAAGATTCCATTAGTATGTACCATTTGAATAGATGATGTTGTAATGCTTTGTAAAATAAAAATTCTTTATATTGTAGAGATATTTATGTAGTTGTAACACATAGTACTGTTCTGATACTTATTGAACTTTGAATACCAGATTGTTTAAGTGTTGAATATACTATATGTCATATATGTGACTTAATATTAATCAATATATATAAATAATATTATATTTCATAATAACAAACTCACCTGTACTTACATTATGTGAAAGTATATTTTTATTAATATAAAAAGTGTTAGAATATTTAATCCATTTTAAGAAGGTTAGATGTTATCGGCTTGACTTTGCAATTGTTAACTTATCAATAAACTTTGGTTCATCAATTGAATATAATTATTATAATTATCTATCATTAAAATATATCTGATTGTCTTAAAACTAATTTGTCTGTCGTTGAAATTGAATGTGAAATGTATAAGGCCTAAAATGTCTTGAATTTGAATATAATATTGTGAATGCTGTTATAAGAATATGCTTATTGTATCAAATATAAATGTTACACGCACAAGAAATTAAAATATAATAATTATGTTCAATGATAGCCGAGGCCTGTCTCGTGAAGCGCCATGTTATTGTAAAATCATGTAAATGAGAATTGAAATAAATTGAATTATAGATGTGTAAACGTTGTTTTATTTTTATTTTGTATATGATATTGAGTTAAACATTCAAATATTCCTGCTATATTTACTGAGCAGAATTCAAGGGGTTTGATATGATGAAAATTATTAATCTAATAGAGAAGTTGTACATTATTTAGTAGTTTTTTAAACCTGCTATTAAAAAAATTACAACTATTTTTCAAAGGTCTCTGATAAGTATAAATTACTTTTATAAAATGTACATATACATAGGAGTCTCATAAAGAACTTATGAAGGAAATGAAAAAAGAAAACATTATTATTTTTCAATATAATCGCCATGAATACTAACTCACTTTTGACATCTGTTAATCAACATCTCTAAGCCTTATAAAAATAATTACAATTCTTATTCTCAAAATGACAGAAGACGGCCGCCTGCAACTCTTTCTCCCTTGAACATTTTCTTCCTCTTAAGTCCTGTTTTAAGTTATGAAATAAATAATAGTCGGTGAGGATATGTCTGGACTGTAAGGTGAATTTTCCACTTCTGTGAAACCCTTAACCACTTTATATACCTTTAGGATCCTTCAGCACACCTTTAGACAACTTGCCTCTTCGGTTCTCCTTTTTCTTGTCTAGTAATTTAAATATTCATGAAACATAACATTCGCCGTTCAACTGCAAAAGCTTGTGAACATCAATTTTTTAAACTTTAAAGAAAGGTGTTTTGATGGTGGAGGTGAGTGTTTCACGCGCGTTAGATAAGGGCCCCTTAAACCTACAAGAAAGTTCCTCTTTCTGCAACCCGATGGACTCAGCATCCGCAAAGTGAAACCATCGAATGCTGAGTTCTTGTCACTTTTGTCTCGTCTGGGGAGACGAGTTAAGGCGAGACTTCCATATGTTGTAGATTTGTTGCGCCAGAGTCATAGGCCCAAAAATTGCAAGAAGTGCCTCTCTCTAATATTCGCTCGACTTTAGTACTTCAGTTCGACTTCGAAAGCAGATAATTAAAATCGTCTAATGATTCGATGAAAATTTTAAAAGTCCCCAAGCCCCCTTGTGAGCCCAGAAATTGTTCCTGCATAGCATATCAGTTAAAAATACAATATATGTATTAAAGAAAGTAAAGATCATTATTAAAGTGCACAGCTCATCGTGTAGTTGATGGAATGTGAAGTGATGCACTTCGGACTGTAGCTTATAAAATTTTTCGAGTACTTCGCCGAGGAACATTGCGAGTAGTGTAGTAGAGGAGACTTTATATACGTATATAGATATATGTTGCCTAGAACCTGATTAATAGTGAATTGGCTTGATAAAGCTTGATAAAGCCAGTTCACTATGGGACCGACTAGTAAATACCGGTGACGCCATATAAGTAATGACGAATTGTGTGGTGAAATGATAAAAATTGTATTCAAAACAAATGATATTTGATAATATCGGTGATTTACCATGTTTTGAATTATTCCATTAGTTTTTATGGAAGGCGATACTTCGAGTGTAGTAATTACAAAAGTAAAGCATCGTTATCATCTAACAGCAGAAAAAATCATTACCAAATATAAATATATAATATTTTTTTAGCATAAGCATAAAAATATATATATTTTTTAATGATATTCATAAATTATATGGTTACGGTTTATTTTCTCATTTTTATATAACTAAATCCATAAAAACTGTCACTTATTTATAAAAAGAAACGCCTTAATGAAGACCTGTGTATTGTTATACAAGCCTAAATATCCTTTTGGAACAATATTGGAACTATAAACTCGAAATACTCAAGTAATGTAGGTCATACTGATATAATTACAAGTAAATCAATATATTTGTTGGAATTAGGCAACGTACACAAGTTAATAAATTAATTCAATTAATGCTCCCAATGTTGATAGTTGTAATCATTTCGCTATCGCAATTTCTATAAAAGTTTGAATTACTATTTAATAAAAATAAGAAAATGAATAATAAAATTATAAATCGCCAACATAACCAGAAGAAATAGTGAACTTCCTCGTTATTCAAGGGAAATTCTAAGGACTAAGTTATATCATTGGACCTAGACTAATTCTACCTCTTTAAGCTAAGACAAAAAAGATTCATAGTTATATAGGTAGAGAAAGCCTTACTATCTAAAGTACAATGACATGAATCGCGAGTAGACAGAAAGGCCTCAGCAGTGTTAAAGAGATTTATTGAGATATTCCCCAATTTTCAATTCTTTTCCTCTGATTTTTCATCACTAACTCCACATCATCCCTAAATTGGACATTGAAAACTATAAGCCGTCTGCCTTCGGAAGTTAGGCGTACCCACAACAAAGCTACGTAAATTAAATGAAAAGTTGCAGGCTATGTTTCTGCGCCTAGTTTTTGTTCTTGGGATGGTGAAGACTCTCATAAACACTGCTTCGAAGTTTATTTAACGTACCCACTTGCCAAATTATGCCCTCTATTCTAGTGATCAAGTCCTTTATAATTAATTAGGGATAGTAGCTGCCTAAGGGCACGTAACATTTAAGTAACAAACCTACTTTTTTAATTTTGATGTTCCTTCCCTCTCATCTAACTAAAATTTAACACCAATTTAATTTTGTACTTCCAAGTATACAAATATCCAATATGTTTATAATATGACTTCACTTTAATCACATTATTAACAGTATCGAACTTCCGTGTAATACAAGGGAAATTAAAACAAATGACACACTACTAAAGGTATAGTAGCCGGCATGTGACTTTAAGCAAGAGATGATAGATCAATAAATATTTCTAATATAGTTATCTATGATAGATGAGCAGAATACGATTTTTAGTTATCAACTGTCATCAACATAGTATGATGCAAGACGAGAGGAGACAATTCCAGACAGTTTGAATGTTCACTGTTGAGTACACTTGCGAGCATGTAAATTGAACCCATTGTTTTTGTTATATTCATAACATCAAATAAGCATCAAAAGTGATAATTTTTAATAGCATTCGGTGTAGATTAGCCAAATTAATATAACCACTAGGAAAAAAGCCTTGCTAATGCCATGGGGTTTACGTATATATAGAAAGTATATTTATTTACACATAAAATCATGGAAATGTATTAATTACGCTATCTCAAACTAGGGTGTATCCAGTCTCACTTAAGTTTAAAAATTTTACTATTAGGACCACCGTTTTATGGAAAATCATGTCATTTATACCTAAGTTTCAGTGTAACCTAAATTTGTTAAATTGATTTTACTCTTCTAGTAAGTGTAAATATATTCCAGATTTATTAGGTTCCTGAAAATTAATAGTTAAAAAAAATCAGGTATTGTGTGTGAGATTTTCTACGACTTTTTCTTTTGCTAGTTTTTTTTATTGAATGAACCCTTGTATGTAGGTTCTGTAGCCATGACTCCCAGATAGACTTAAAAACTGCAACTTAATAAGATAAAACCTTTTTCTAGACTAACGAAAATTTTAAGATAAATAAAAGACGTATTAATTGTTTATTTCTCTTTAATGACACCTTTCCTTACATCTAAATAATTATCACAAATAAACAGTGAAAACTGATGGATTCACAGAATCTAAATGACATTGGGAAGAACTTTGCCTCACAGCAAATACTACACAAACAAATATTAACATAATTAATAAGGATACAATCATTAACTTCACCTAATCTACACCATTTATTGTTCATGAAACATGTTACACATCTTAACACTTGATTTAACTATTTTTTTTTGTTAATACTTTAAAGTTCTATTTCAAATAAAACTTAATAACCCTTGTATTGTTTTTATTTTAACTTATTATGTACAGAAATTAAATATATACTACACTTTTTACACAGAAAAAAATACCTAAAATAAGAAAAACCTAATTTCAAACTTATCATTAATATCACTTTTACCAGTACATAAAGGAACTGAGGTTGTCAAACAAAAAACCAGATCGAATTTATATGATTAGATAATTTTTGAAATTAACAGAAAATAAAGGTAAAATGCACTTACTAATACATATATCTTAAATCACTAAATTAACTAAGAAAATCCTAAATAGACTTTTGTTCCAAAAATATTTTAAAAAGCTATGTAATTTGTTGATTTTACTGGGAACTGTTGCATAGTATAATATTACATCGAAGCATTAATTTATGTACTAATTAGAATGAATATTAAACTTTAAAACAAATGCCGTCAGCTACACATTTAACTAGTATTGAACTTATCTAAAAATTGTAGAATCAAAATACTTAGGTAAGATCACATATAGTCAAATTAAACAAATACATTAAAACAGGCTCGGACTAGATAAGAATTTGTAAATCTAAGCCCTGCCTGCAAGCCTATACTACTTTTTAGCTTTGGCCGCATTCCCTTGCTTATTAGGAGGCGTCCATCTCAATGCCGAGGGGTCGACACATAACCGAGGCTTCTTGAAATGAGAACTCGCTAGCTGTTCGGCAACTATCTTTGGTGTGACACAGATCACATGCTGCCCCTTCCAATATTTGACCATGTTCATTGATTGTAATGTAGATATTATATCAGTTTGTGATATCCCAGTCATTTGACTCAAATCCTTGATACTAAGTGTACCACGACTCGCACTCAAAACCTCCAATAATACATATGACCAATAAGATCTGTAACTGAGCTTCCCCAAGTCTGATAAAGGCTTTTCAGGGCTGCCAACTACTTGCTCTAATCTCGATAGTTCGTAGCTGAAAGCAATGAGCAACTTACCATAACCCTGTCTTTGGTAAGGTGGTAATGTTAGTATACAAGCAACATTATTGCCTTCAGGAGAGTCCTTTTCTTTTGAAAAGTATCCAACAAGATGCGCCCCATGCTTATCAACCTCGCATAGGATGTAAAATAGAAACTGCTCGATATCAAAATAAAGAGTTTTGTGGTCTAAAAACAGTTTTGCCAGTAAACATAAGTTCTGACAATATATTTTATGCTCTTTCCCGTCCGCTTCAAAGATGGCTATGGTGCCTTTCCTGTATATTTCGCTTCCCTGGGGCTGCCTCGCCGTGCATTCGCTCAGATGGTATCTATAGGTTTTCTCCATACGCATGTATTTCAAACAGTATTCACAAATCCATAGCTTCGACTGTTTACCGTATTCATCGGGATAAGGGCTGAAGTACCAAGTGTCGATCTCGTATTTCCCTATCTGTATCCTATCGATGTATTTAACTTTGGTAATAGCTTCGTGTTCCTTCTCCAGAGCCGCCGTCGTCGGATCCATCTCGGCGTAGGACTTCTGAACATGATTGATTTCATCATGTTTACGTTTCTGATTGCGTGTTATTTTGCGGCCCGACTTGTCGGTGAGCAAATGATCCGAGTTTATGTTGTTATTAGAATTTTCGCAGACGTCAAATCTATCAGACATAACCCGGTGGCGGGAAACCCATTCGTCGAGCCTTCTATCGTAGCCGACATAATGTACATAATATTCATAACACGATTCCGCGGCGTTGTACCGCGTCTGTATAATCTCAGCCGGGTGCCATGACTCATCGGAACGCCGCACTAAATAATGCTCTCCGATATCCAAAGGTTGCTCTTGTGTGGATTCTGAGTCTTCATTATCGGTACTACGACACTCCGGATTTGGTAATTCATTGTTCACAATAGGTTTTTCTAACTCTTTATCACCTTTTGCCATATTAAACACTAAACCATTAAATGGATCACGCAATACCGCGCAACACAATCTATTGAAGCGGGAGTAGCCATGCTATTCTTAACATAGATTATAGAGTAATAAATGCGCAAATAAAACTTGCCCTATGGTATCTTTAAGCACAATTTATAAAGAATATAAACAATTTCCATTATGTGATTTAAATACTACAAAATATTGTATTAAATCTTATTTAATGTTGTGACCACAAAATGTCATTAAAGCAAGAATTTTGAGTCAATTATTCAAATGGTTATTTTATAGAGGTATAATTTTCACAATGGTTTATTTCAAAAACAATTTTTTTATGTACCTAATTAGGTATTTTAAAGACATTAAAAAAACACTTTCAACATAGCTGATTAAATTAGATATATAAAAATATATTTTCCAAAGTGTGGTAGTTAATGTAAAAAAATATATGGTAACATCGTGTTTTCTACCAATTCCTACCAAGTCAAACGGCTATCGAGACGTGAGTTGCTGTCTACTAACCGAGCGTAAGCGAACGTTCGACGTAGCGTAATTGCTATCGGCAAAACGGCTGTATGGTGGTCACTGATTTGCGGATCGTTTCTTAATCACATTCAAAGAGATATGAAATTACATTCGTTATCAAAAAACTGTGCTTGTTATTTACGTAAGTGTTGATTGTAATGCCGAAGTATATTGATTTCAATTAGAAGTGATTTAAGTGTAGTGGTATCGTTTCGACATTATTACGGAGGTCTTGTGATAGCTCGTTGTTTTAGAAACTATTGTTAACCAGAGAAATGCAGGCCATAAAGTGTGTCGTCGTTGGTGACGGGTGAGTTTTGATATTCTATCACTATTATTACTCCTAAATTTGTTATCGTAACAATCCTCTGACGTCATTGAGGAACAGTCATTTCACATAGTTCTGAGCGGCATACGATTTGTTAGACGGTCCCGTTGTGAGGTAACTCACGTTGCTCGTAATGAGTATAATATAGATGCTCGTAATTATACTATTGAAGCGATAATCTTTTTTAAAAATGACAAAGCGATAATTGTATTACATTATCTTACATAAAACGTTTTTTTTAACTGCAACGATCTTATCAGCTTGTGATATGTGATTGTCAATACTTATGTATATAAAATGTAGTGCTAGGGTCATATTATGGCTGTGCTTTAGAAATTAGTCCAACAAAAAATTTCACCTTATATGTATTTTGTAAATATACCAGTTGTATCTAAAAAATATGTTCCGATTTTTGAACCATTAAGTTGGCTCTCAAGTCAAACAAATTTTTATCTAAATCTATATATTATATTAGTCTTTATTACTAAAAATAATTAATTTAATGGTTATTTTATAACTTACTTTTGTAACAATAATACATTTATTTTAAATACAAAATAAGAGGTTAGAACTGAAAGTCATAAACAATTCTTCAATGGCATATAAAATCCTATAATTTCGAAAAATTTAAGAAATAATATTATGTTATTGTTTGGGTATAAAAATTTTAAAGCAACATGTAGGTACTATGTATAAGATTTACAAGTACACATTCAATATAATTTTATTCATCATTGTATGATATCTGGTAACAGTTGTATAAAAAAAATGGCATAGATTTCTTTAATGTGTTATAATTACCACTTTTTTTGTATAAATAGTCTATTTTTTTATTTATCCAAATGCCTTATGCCATTATATAAAAAATATCTAAATCTTTCAAACTTTCCTTTGTTTTCATATAATTATGTTTTTCAATATTAAATCTTCAAGAACAAGAGCTAGATATTATGGTGATCATACATTTGAATACTTCTCTAATTTATATTGTTTGTTTTATTGACTATTATTATTGCCTGTGACTTTGTATCTCAAACCCCATTTTAAGTACCCCTTATCATGCTACATCAAGTTACATTCAATATCTCGAGGACCCTTCATTGTATGGCATGGTTACTATAGAATTACTTATAGTTGGCCTTTAACTGAAAGAGTAATAACATTACTCCTATTTGAAGTTGGTTAAAAAGTAATCTATGTTAATTTTCCTGATAATGCTTAAATGTTAGTGAACATCCCATCAATGTAATTCTAGGCATTTTAGAGTTATGCTGGAACAAACAAATAATATAGAGACTTTTTTTTTTATATATAATTTAAAGATGTATATTCATATGCATTTAGTAACTGTTCATTTGTTATTATAAACACACTTTAATTTTATTTATTAGTATACATTGCCACAAAAATAAAAATTCTTTCACTATCTTCTTTTCACCAACTTACTATAAAGTAGATATGTGTTTTGTTAACATTTCAGTCCGTTAGTATTGTACAGTTCTTTTGTTTAGTGATTTTGGCAACATACATGTATGAATGTACTTGATATTCAAATTGAATCGTGGAAAGTGATACAGGAAGTCACTAATTTTAAAGTTTGTATAGGAATGATTTGTTTGTATTTCAAGTGTTGCCAGATTGAAAAATTATTGTTTTTTTTTTTATATAAGCTGTAAATGATTTTTTTTTATATAATAACAAATGAGCTATATAGTTAATATATATAGTTTAAATATAGAATAAAAGTATTTTTAAGAGTTTTAGCTTCCATAGCGGTGTTTAATTTATTTAATTAATTAACACATTACAGTTAAATCACATGTTTTCTAAATATGACTCAAGTGCTCGGTGACAGTCGATCTGTTGAATGAATGCAAATTGGTCTATTTCCTTTGCTATTAGCTATATAACTGTAATTCCTTGTGTGGGATTTTATAAATCTCTCTTTTATATAATAGTAAGAAAAGATTTAGAATTAAGTCGATAATCAAGTGTATTAAATTACATGTAGTTAATTGTTTTTTAAGGACTATTTGATACTTTAAATTATGCAAATTTATTCTATATTTAAAATTTAAGTTTTTCTTGTATTTGTATAAGTGTAACATTAGCTTGGAATGAAATTATGTTCAAACTTTTTTTAATAATGGTTGATGTCAGCTTTTATAACTTGCAATACCCAAAAATATGGCACATATTTTTATTTATGTTTTTGAAATATAATTGTTGAATTATGTACATAAAATACATACTTGAAGTTTAAAGTGCTTCAAAATTTGCCTGTATGGCAATAAAAAATGTTGCATAATATATTTATAATGCACAATGATATTTCTAGTAAATTTACATAGTAGTCATATTATTATCTTTTTATAACATCTAATGGCCCGTCTGGATTCTAGTAATAAAGTATAATTTTGTTACAAAGAAATATGTATTTGTTCATAGTGTTCATTGTAGACATACATTGTGTTGACACAAAGAATAATATTAATTTTAAAGTGTATAGTAAAATTAATTAAATTCTTAGTTATATCTTTCTTTATACTATAATTACCAAATGAACTGATATTATTATTTTTGATTTTGAAGGTAAGTTAATTTAATTGTAATCACATAAAACACCATCATTGGGAACAATCAAATGTATGAATATACTAGTTTTTGCCTGCTACTATTTCTGTTGGTGTTTTAAGTAGGCATAGGGGAAAATGTATAATGTGTTAGAACATTATTTATGGTTCCTGTAGAGTTCATCTAGATAGTAGAAGTCATACTTGTCACATGTCTTCATATATCATACAGATGTTATTTTCAATCTACAGGAACTACTCAGCATTTTTGTATAATTTACCAGCTGATCCGGCAACCGTTGTTACGCCATATAAAATAATATGGCTTGGTGATAATAAAGTAAAAATTAAGAGTTGTCTGTATTTAATGCCACATTATAAAAGAATAAAAACAAAAAAATATGTTGATGTTGACCGATTCTCATATGATGTTGACCTACTCAATATGCTCACAAAATTTCATTCAAGCCGTTTCGGAGTAGCATGGGAACTAACATTGTGACACGAGAATTTTTTATATAAGATTTATAAGCTATGTCTTACTTTGATGTCCAAAGAACAATGCTATTACTACTATTTAATGTACATTTTCATCAAAATCAATCCAATGTGGGAAAATCATCAAAAATAATCAGAGTTTTATAACCATTATTGGTTGAGATACAAAATAACTTATTGACAATACATGGACTAATAGTTTTTAGTATTATTAATGGAAAATATTTATTTAATTTTATTTATTATTATACGAGGTGTGTTCAAAAAGTATCGCGACTTTTGAATTTTTTCGGGTTATGTATAATCGAATTTCGATTTTTTTGTGGCGTTATGTTGGTACTCATGTCTGTCACTTATGCCGACAAGCTCGGCCATTTTGAATGTTCACTTAATTGTTGACACCTGTTTTGCTTGCACGTGTTTTGGATCGTCTTCGATTTTTACCATGGATCAAAGAACCTGTATCAAATTTTGTGTGAAAAACGAAATTAAGTGCGCGGATGCATTCCGAATGTTGACTGTGGCATACGAAGCTACATTGGACCGAAGCAACGTTTATCGGTGGTACAAAATGTTCTCAGAAGGCCGAGAAGATGTGGACGACGAAGAGCGTGCCGGACGCCCGAACACTTCAACAACAGACGAAAAAATTAATGAAGTGGAGAAAATGGTATTGGCCAATCGTCGAATCACCGTTAGAGAAGTTGCTGAGGACCTAAACATATCGATTGGCTCGTGCCATTCGATTTTAATCAACGATTTGGGCATGAGACACACTTTGATAAATTAGGGTGTTCACACGATGCGTAATTAATTACATAACTTTTGGTTAACTTTACTTAGAAGTTTACTAATATTTATGTTATATTAATTTTTATTTTGTCATATATGATCGTCAAATATCACGTCCTCAAATATCGATAGTAATTCACCAGTCACCCTGTATAAAGTAATTAAAATTATGAAAAATGAATAAGCAAAAAATATATCCTTACAGTCTAGTCTAGTCTTGGCGCGTAATAATAACTCGAAACACGTACATATGTACCTAAATAAAAAAGTGTGTGTTTAGAAAACATAGTTTC